CCCCCGCCCAAAAAAATAAATCCTTAGCTGCACTTGTCTTTTAAATGCGAAGTTTATGGGCATAGCACTTTCCTTTTTCTTTTTTAAAACCTCAAATAGCATCACAAAGACAGAGTCACATGGGGTCAAGGGAAGTGTGTGACCTTTACTTGGAAAATGGGGTTTGACGACAAGCCTATCATCCATCTATCTATCTATCTATCCATCTGTGTTAAACAGACTGTACTTATATAGTTCCCTTCTATCTAATCAAAATACTCAAAGCACTTTACACAGCACTCTGTACAAAGACTAATCAGTGCTTTTAAATCACATTCATATGATGGGACACACATCAGAGGCAATGAGAGGTTCAGTGTCTTGCAGGGACACTTCAGCATGTGACTGCTGGTGGAATTGAACCCCCGACACTTGCATTGGAGGACGACTGTTCTAACCACTCAGCCACAGTCACTCCAATCAATCAATCAATCAATCGATCGATCGATCTATCGATCTATCGATCTATCTATCTATCTATCTATCTATCTATCTATCTATCTATCTATCTATCTATCTATCTATCTATCTATCTATCTATCTATCTATCTATCTATCTATCTATCTATCTATCTATCTCCTCATTGTTATAATTGCACATAATAGCAGAAAAACTAGTTAAATATGTTCTCAGTCTTTTCTCCTGGCATTTTGGTAAAAAAGCAACTCGTTTTCTTGCTACATTTCGCGAGCCTTCCTTCTGGGGCACCTCTTGCCCTGCAGAAAGTTCCCCTTCAGAGTCATTGCAGCACATGATTTGAGCTGAAACCTCGTGCAGCTCTTCCTCAGCAGTAGTTTTGCACGTTGCAGGTAAACTATGAGGTGGACACCTTGATTTGTTCAGGTTTAAACTCTGCTTTATGCACCAATTAGCTTAAATGACAGATTGGAGTTGTTTTCAAATCATTATTTTTGTTTTCTCAGTGTATTTCATACAAACATCTGGGACATGTGCAATAGTTTGTCTTCATTGACTTGCTGTAATTTTTGAGCAGTAAATCCTGTTGATTTGTTTTCTTCTTAGAGTAAACCGGCACATTGTGAAAAACGAGGCTTGTATTTGTACGCACACATCCTTTGAAATGATTTGATACCTTGTCAGTGCTCTTCATAGCCCCTAATGAAATGTTTCTGACGGCCCCATGCCAGCATGGAGAAGATTATACTGCTGAATCTGACATCTTGGAGCACTTCTCTCATCTTTTTTTAATTTTTTTAAATCTCAGCAGCAGTTTTGATCCTCAGCTCCCCCACCATCACCTACTTCCTTGTTATATCTTCTTATTCCTCCTACCCCCCTCCTTCCTTTGGTACTGATGGAAGAGCCTGTATCTCTTTTCCTTTTTTCGCCTGTAGGGCCTTGGTGATCCCAACGGATTAAAAATGCCTTTTTTTAGTCTCTCTGATAGAAGGAGAACTTCAAACACGGTTCCCCGCACACCTCAAACCCCATCACCCTCGCATGGTGGTGCAACGCTGCCTTTGATGGGCCATGGGGGTTCACTCAATACCTACTGAGAATTGGACTTGTGCCAGATTTGCTTCTTAGTATTCACTCAAGGTACGTGGGTGGGGGTTTGAAAGGGCCTCTGCTTCCCGGTCTGTAATTGGGATGAAATATTATAAAAAGATGAGTTTGTTTACATCATACACAAAAGCGTCACAGTGTGTTGCGAAGATAAATGCTCTAAATGCTGCAGAAAAAGCAGTTCACTGGGGACATGTCTCCATGCAGATTTTTTAAAAACATTGTTTAAACTGTTTGTGTTTTCGATTATTTATGTGGCTGCGCTAGTGAAATGATCCTACAGTTTGTGTCACCTGCCTAAAATATTGTGCTCCTACTCGCTCTGTTTATCGTTCTTGCACGCTTTTGATACCAATTAACAAAATGCTTTGATGCTTTAGTTCAGATGAGTCTGGTTCCATGGGGAAGAACTGTATGAACAGTTAATATCTTACCTGCTCTAGATAGATCTTCAAAAGAGCTTGGTTTGGGGAAACTGAATTCATAGACTGACAAACTAAAAGCTAGTCTGAGCAGATCCAAGACCAAAGTGGATGCACTTCCATCTTTAAAAAGCTAATTTCAAAAACTTCATAGCATTTCACGCAAACGTTTTTTTTTTACAAACCTCTACGTGCGTCAGTCAGCTGTTGCTTTCGTGCTTGAAAATAGCCATAGACCTTTGTGTTATGACTGTGTAACATTGCTGATGGTGTAACAGTTTATAAAACTGCATTTGCATGAACTGCTATAACATATTTTAGATGGGAGTTGTTTTGAGATGGCAGAGATCCACGCCGATTTGATCAGAATTAAACTTTATTTCTCCAAATAGAGGTGTTCAAAGACCTATACATGCACAGTAGGTAAGATATTAATTGCCTATAATCGTTCCGCAGAGCCTCACTTCAGAAGATTTGAAGCGTCACTTTAAGAGATAAATCCATCGAAAACGCAAACATTTATTAATTTATTTGTTAATTTATTTTTTATTTAACTCATTTACAGTTTAAAATAAATATGTCACATGCTGACATGAACAAAAGTTCTGAATGAAAAGGAGTAGTTTGAAGAAAAGTCTTATATAGTCTACCCCTTTTCCCAAAAGTCTGTGTACTACACCACAACCAAGTTTCAATCAACCATCCATATAGACACATCTTTGAACACAAAACAGGCAATGTGTATATATAAAGAAAACAAACAAACAAACAAAATATTTGTTACGATACTGCACTCTGAATCAATATGCGTCATTGTACCTTGAAAGAAATTTATATTTCATTATTTTCTTCAAAGTTAAAATAGATATACTCTCTTTGGTTTACATAGCAATAGGTTAGAGGAGACGTGGCAACTTTGCCACAGTTATGTTTTCATCTGTTGTAGCAAAGTTAAAAACTGAATAAGTATTGTACCAGTAATTCTTTTTTCTTTTTCCTCCTTTGTGACTAAATTTGAGAAACGTGTGGATTAGGTCTCTCCCTTGCAGCCTTGATTAATTCTTCAAACCATATTCTTACAAATTAGGTTATAAATGTGTCCAAAATAAGTGAGTCCATTAATTCCAGGCGGGCTCCTGTTGGGAGGTTCTTGTTCTGCTCCTGCTGAGATGAATCATGCAGACTCACACAGGCCTGCACATCTATGCATATGTCAAGGGATGAACGTGCAAACTTTCACATGTGCACATTTGTGCCAACACATGCGGATGCCCACACACGCCCCCTTTCACACACACACAGACACACACCATGCACGCGCACACACACACACACTCCAGAAAAAAGTCTCCTATTGACAAAAAAGGTCACAGAGTTCACAGCTATGTGATATATTGGACGAGAAGACTATTAGCCTCATCAGGTCTCTTTCTTTGGCAGCAAAGATGAACCGGTAGTAACTTGAAGACTTATCCCCCACCGCACGCACACACACACATACACAGCACTAACCACTCCCAAAAAAAACAAGTCTTTTATAGTGTTGACCCTATAAAAGGGTCATTTCCTGAAGGTGCAGGAACCATAAAAGTAAAGAGGGAGAGCGCTAAAAGGACAGAGCAGCAGAAGCCGGACAGTCTTCCACTCACTGTTCAGTGTTTGCTGGAAGTCGGAGACTATGTGTGGTTTTTATAGATTTATTTATTCCATGGAGGTCTCAGTTTGACGATGACACCTGCTCTTCTTGTGTAGTTTGCTGGCATCGGTTTGAGGGAAAAGATCAACTCTGGTGTGTGATTGTTTGGATGCTGGGACATAAGCAGTTTGTTTAGAAAGAACAAGAACAAGAAGAGTGTGCAGGACTGTAGAAACTGCACAACATACTGTCAACTTTATGGTCAATAAAATTTCAAAGGGACTCAAGTCTATTAATAAAAGGACAAAATTTCCCTCGGACCTCAGGAATCTCACTCTTTCAACCCTTCTTCCTCCATTCCCACGCTCCCCTGCACCGTTCCCTGCAGTCCCAATGCTCTCTTGACTTTTGGAAATACTTAAGGATTTAAAGACAATGGAAAAAGTACTGAGATGTTGAGGAGGCACAGCTATGAGAGAAGATTTCTCTTTCTTTCCTTCTTTTTCTCTTGGTTTTGTGACACTGCCGAGCTCCTCGTTGCCTCTTTAAACAACTTAAAACAGCATGAT